GCCTGTGAGGTAAGACTGAGAGTCAAAGGAGTAGCCTAAACTCACTCAGTGAGCATCATGGCCAGGACAGGACTAAAACCCAGGCATCCCCAGCCCCAAACACTAACCACTACACCGTACTGTCTCTCTCATTACCCAACATTCATCTAGAACAAAAGATTCACAGTTGCTAGGCACTGCGTAAGATTCGGCATTCAGACTGGCCCTGTTTTGGACAAGCGATGAAGAAAAGGGGAGACAGCAGGGATCTGGGGCCAGTAAAATCCCAGCTGTCTCACTGCAGAATGGAGATCCTGAATGCCCCGTGTGAGTGGATGGGATTGAGCAAGCCCAGATCCCCACCTACCCCAATACATTTCAGTCACATGGCATTATGTCTGCACAGTGCCCTCCACATCTTTCCTTGTTTCAGTTTCAGTGAACTCTTACTAACCTCTTACTAACTTGCTAACCTCACAGGGTTTCAATCAAGGGACAATTTGAACCGCACTATTTCAGTAGAGCTTGCATATCTTTAAAACTGATGTTTTTGTAATATGTTACGATGACTCCCAAGTAGCTTTTTAACTATACAAGAAAGTGATTTGCAAACCTTGGTTTAAAGTTAGGTAAAGGTAAAGGTTTCCCCTTGACATTAAGTCCAGTCCTGTCTGACTCTAGGGCGCAGTGCTCATCTCCGTTTCCTAGCCAAGGAAGCCAGTGTTTGTCTGCAGACAGTCTCCGTGGTCATGTGGCCAGCATGACTAAACACCGAGGTGCACGGGACGCTGTTACCTGCCCACCGAAGTGGTACCTTTTTATCTACTTGCATTTCCATGCTTTCGAACTGCAAGGTTGGCAGGAGCTGGGATGGAGCAACGGGAACTCACTCTGTTGTGCAGACTCGAACCTGCGACCTTTTGATCAACCAGCCCAGCAGCACAGCGGTTCAAACCACTGCGCCACCTGCAGTCCCTCAGTTCAAAGCAGGGGTCTCAAACTCGCAGCCTGCGGGCCAATTGCCGGGACGGGTGGGGCACGGGGGAGGGGCCCTGCGGCCTTCAAAGCGCCAGCGGCGCCCGGGCCGACCGCAGGATGAGCGGCCCACCACCACCGCGGTGGTGGAATACTTGATGCGGCCCAGCCTCGCCCAGACTCTACTTCCAGCGGCCCCCAGGTCAGCTGAGTTTGAGACCCCTGGCTTAAAGTTAGCCATGTGCAAATGGAGAACGGCGCCAGGGTTGTCACTAACCAGTGAAGGTGCAGGTCAGTACCCTGGTGGCGGCGGTGGTTACATGCCATCAAGTTGCCTCCTACTTATGGTGCCCCTGTGAACGGAAGCCCTCCCAAACGCAGTGTCCATGGCAGCCCTGCTGAGCTCTTCCAAGTTCAAGATTGTGGCTTCCTTTATGGAGTCAATCCCTCTCTTATTCGGCCTTTTCTTTCTTCTTCTGCCTTCAACTTTCACTAGCAAGCCTGGCTTGCAACCCTATTATGGTTAAGAGAGCCCTGATGTAGCATCTTCACTAAACCAGAGAAAGATGGGGGTGGTTACATGCAGAATCAGCACAGGTATCCTTGCAAGTTAAATGCTTCAACAAAGGATGCCAAAGGGATGCACCTTCCTGCAAGCTAGGCTCTCTGCAAAGGTGTCATGGGCATGGTGCATCCAATGGCAAATTTGCAGAAGGGCAGTGGTTGGTAAATGCAAAAGATCCACACAACTATATCCAAGAGAGCTTGAGAGGCGTTGTGTTTCTTGAATAGCAGTCCAAGATGATGCCCATCGAGCAACAAATGAAACTTCAGAGAAATTTCAGATAGGAGATTTTGATAGGACATTGAGCCTGCCCTTCAGAAAAGAGACAGAAATCTGTTAGGAGGAATGCCCAAGATTGTGGGCACACCTAAACTAGCTCTTTGCATCTCAGCCACTATTCCCATAGCATTATCAATGTGCATCAAGGTGCACTGCTGGGCACTATCCCAAATTCTGTGCAACCTTCTCTGTTGCACCAACAGCAATATACCCTCAACACACTGAAGAATCATTGAATGCATGGAGCTGCTCAAGGAAGGGAAAAATCTGCCACCCAACAAATTAGCCTGGCACTCCACAACATGCATAGAACCAGCGAACTCTCAAGTTAGGCCAAAAAAGTTAAGGAGTTGTTAAGACTTCTACTGCTCTCCAGTTTGCAGAACACTCCTCCAGTACATGGAACGGATTGTGAAAGGGACTTAAAGCCTTATTTCAGGGAAAGCTGCTCCAAAGAGGCTAATAAAAACACTCAGTTCATGCCACCCACACCAATCCTGGAGGCTCTTTAGAATACATTTGCACTGGCAGCTTATCATGGGAGATGCCCCTGCAAAAGGACAGAGCAACCTTCCAAAAAGCTGGCAACTCCATGCGCTTTTACTCAACGAATGAAAAGACGGGACTACAGGAAGAAAAACAAAAAGAGCTGATAAGCGTGACTGGAGCCAGACTGCTGCAGAAGCCAGTAGAGGCGATATATGCAGTTGCCACAGTGAGACCAGCGCCCGAGGTCGGACAGAGATCGTTCAGAGAACCTGCTCTCAACCAGTGATTCCAGGGACTGATGCCCAGATCTTTGCCCTGCAGAGAGGTGCTAGGGCCCTGCTCCAGCCCTGCTCCTTCAGGCGGCATCAACGGCAAGCATTCAAAAATAGCTCACAAAGCCGAAAAGCACCAGTGATCTAGCAAAATCACTTGGATATGTCATGACTTGGACTCTACAGCTGATCTAGCCTTATTGAGAAAGGTGTCCAGACAGCCATCTCATCTGACTTTGATGGATGAGTTTCAATTATTGCAGTTTGATGATGTGGACAAGCTACTTGGTTCTGTTCATGCCCCCACTAGTTTACTTGACCCTTGCCCATCTTGGCTCATCAAAAGTTTTAGTGAAGGGGTTTGCACCTGGGTCCAGGAGGCCATCAACTTCTTGTTGAGAGAGGAAGTGCAGCCTCTCTGAAGGAGGCTGTGAAAAGACCACGCCTTAGAAAGCCAAACCTGAACCCAGGGCTGTTGTAAATTACAGGCTGCAAGGTGCTTGAGCGGATGGTGGCTGAGCAGCTCCAGCTACTCTTGAACGAAATGGATTATCTAGATCCATTTCAATCAGGCTGGGGTTTGGGACAGAGACTACCGTTGTCACCTTCTGGGTGGATGACCTTTGCCAGGAGAGGGTCAGGGGAGTGCAACCCTGTTGGATCTCCTGAGCTCCTCAGTAGCTTTCAACAGCATCGGCCATGGTGTCCTTCTGGGCAGGCTGGCTGAGTTGGGGGCACTGCATGGCGGTGGTTCCACTCCCTCCTGGCCGACCATGTCCACCCCAGGTGGTGCTGGGGAACAGCTGTTCTGCCCCATGGCAATTAGAGTATGGGGTTCCTCAGGGCTCCATACTGTCCCCCGTGCTGCTCTATACTACTTGAAACTGCTGAAAAAAGTCATTCGGAGGTAAGGCCTGAGGTGACTTCAGTACACTGATGACACCCACCTCTACATCTTGATTTCCTCCAACCCAGGTGAGACAATTACCATCCTGAATCACTTTCTGAGTCTGATAATGGACTGGATGAGGGCCAATCAACTGAAGCTCAATCCACATAAGAAGGTCTGCCTGCCCAGAGCGTGGCCTTCGGCCTGTGCTAGCTGGGACTGTACTCCCTCGGAAGGACAGAGCCCTATCTTGGGGGTGCTCCTGAACCCAAAACTCACTTGAGTCTCAGGCAGACTCGGTGGCCAGGAGCACCTTCTTTCAGCTACACTTAGTTCACCAACTGTGGCCCTACCTGGACAGGCAGAGCCCAGCCACAGCCACGCACGCTCTGGCCGCCTCCCAACTCAACTCTTCTAACACATCCTGCATGGAGCTGCCCTTGAAACAGTCTGGAAACTTCAACTGGCACAGAGCAGGGCAGTGTGACTCCTGGCCCAAATCAAGTCTGGGCACCCATATTACCCTGATATTATATCACTTGCATCGGCTACCAGTTGAGCTCCAGGCCCAATTTAAGCCACTTGTTTTGACATATAAATCCCTAACTAGCTTGGGAACCGGGCTATCCGAAGGGAGAGAGCTGTCAGCCAAGGAGGAGGGTGGCAAATAGAAGAGGGGCCTTCTCAGTGGTTGCCCCCTTCTGTGGAACAGCCTTTTGAGAGTAGTTCACCTGGCGCCATCATTTCATTCTTTTCAGCACCAGACAAAAACAATCCTATTCTCCAGACATTTTAATAATTGATTTTATACTGCTCAATTTTAAAGCATATAGTTTTCGATTGTTTTTTAGTTTTAATGTACTATTTTAATCCATTTATACCTGACCCCACAGCTGCATATTGTATATTTTATTGCATACTGTTACTGTTTATTGTAATTATATGTTTTATGATATGTTGTTTTAATTGTTTCTTCATAATCAGCCTAGAGAGCCCTTGAGACTAATTAACTATGGAATACAGGTCAAAAAAATAAATAAATAAATAAATAAATAAATAAATAACTCACTCACTCACTCACTCACTCACTCACTCACTCACTCACTCACTCTCTCTCTCTCATTACTTTCCTCAAGCTGACCTCCAGAAACCAGGGTATTCGGGTAACTTGCTGTCAAACTGACCAGAGTTTGTCAGTCCCCAGGCTGAACAACATACGCAAAAACTCGGGAAGAGTTTGGGGGAAGTGGGGGAGGAAGCTGCTGGATAGGAGAACACGACCAGAGGGGAGTATCCAGGGTTCAGTGTGCTGCATACCTTCTAGCAAAACCCACCTGAAATTAAGGACAGATTCATCCCTGCCTATGCAATTGGGTGGATTGCAGATGGCACGCTTTTCCTTTCCTCTGCTTGTCTTTTGACATTTCAGGGAAGGGGCGTGAATACCCACGCATGAGCGTGTGTGAAATTAACCATGTCCGGAGAAGACTCACAGGTCTTTCTTCCAAGCCTCTGACCCACTTTGGTCCTCTTGTTTAAAAAATAAACTTACCTCCACTCCTGATAGCTGAGATGCCCCGATAGAAGTCTTCAAAGCTGATCACACCTAGGCCAGCTGGATCCAAAAACCTGGTCAGGTCCTTCACCTGGAATCACAAAGCAAACCCATGTTAAGTGTTTATACCACTGGACACTTTGCTGCCTGAAGCAGTGTGGTGATGCCACTCCCCATCCTCACAGTCACCGTGCACAGATGAAGACAAGGCTGGTCACATTATTTTGGTTCCCAAGGACCTCATACCAAGACTTCAAATCGTCTACGGAATTACAAAATATGCAATAATAAGTAGAACTTATTAAGGTCCGGCAGGTTGTGTATGGAATGCTCTGCGCATCCAAAAGCCAGGACAGCCTTCAGCCTGTTACGAAGAGCACCAGAGATCACTGCCTTGGAGCTGACAGTTCTGTAAGAAGAGCTGCAGATAGTCCCCTCCCCAGAAGATGATGGGAATTGCAGTCCCTACTACTACTCTACACACGGGTTATCTTCATCAGAAGAAAGGGACGTACAGAGAGGCAGCGTGAACTGTAACATGATGAGAGCGATGGTTTAACTGGGAGCCCTGCACTGAGCAGCGGGTTGAACCTGATGGTCTTGCAGCCTTGTCCAACTCTACAATTCTATGATAACAACTTATCCTCTTTCTAAAAAGCATTTCCATTATAACGTGCATTTTCTGTTGCTGCTGCTTGTTACCGTGTTAGCTTTCTTAAACCCCTGATGAACTTCCTGTTTTTTTGGTGGTTTCCCCCTCTGTATTAAAAGCAAAACCTTCCACAGCAGAATGCAAGAACAGCAAACTTTGTGTACCTAAATTTATTCACTACATGCTGTTGAATTAATGTTGAGGCTTGATTACTTGTTGCGACTTTTAATTCCACATGTTCTGACCACTGCGCTGGAAAACGTTGCAACTAGCAACTTTCATCAGGGTTAAAATGACTCACTTCGTGTGGGGACTTTTGCTGACACTGTCACTAACTATTCAAACAACACACTAAGGACTGCAGGGGTAGAGCTATGGGCCAGCCTCTTGACTTGAAAAATCCACTGCAGCTCAATGACGTCACAGTCCACCGAAACAGCCTCCCAATAAGCGCCACTGTCCATGCCCATCTTTCTTTCTCGCGTGTTCATTATGCTTTTACATCATGAGCAAGCAGCAGGAGTTGGGAAATGCACATGCCAGGCATGCCAAAGGCCCTTCGCATCCCGCTCTGAAACTTTGGGAAGCCGCTGCCAAGTCATCTACGTACCAGTGGGCTTCAAAGACCTGGGCAGCCCCAACATCAGTCCAAACATGCCTCCTGGAAGCACACCAGTATTTCTAGCACATATGTATATGGCAGCCCTTCCCAACCCCATGCTGGCTGGGGATGACGGGAGTTGTGCTTAACACAACCCAAGAGCCTTGGGTTGAGCAAGACGGATGTATGGTATGACAGTACCATTACCAGTGATACCAGGTTGTGGGTTCCAACTTCCCAGCTGAACATCCATGAAATACCGTAGTGAGCGGTTTAGACTCTCTATTAAGGCATCTTCCCATGTTCCTATGATACCAACTGCTTTTGAAAAATGCAGGTTATGAATTTTCCAAATAAAGTACACCAGGCACAGAGTCATGGCTAAGTGGAACGGGCTCCCTTTCAAGAGTGCTCAGAGGAGAAAGGCAGAATGGGGAGGAGAAGAGGAGCGAACAGCCATGTCCCAAAAGGAGGTGGGTGGGAAATCCATGCAAACCATTCTGCGCCTGATTTTAAATGTGATTTGATTGAGATAATGCAGGCCAGCTATGAAAAGCAGGCCAACTAGCAAGATTAATATCATGCAGGTACACTAACAGCGCCCATATGGCAACACAACCCTCAATCGGATAGCGATAAGCTTATCCAGACTTCATACTAAACCCATTTTCTCTTGGGCTGAAAAATTATCTTCACTGGCATCATCAGCTGCCAAAAGCACATTCATCACAGTAAGGAGGAACACAGAACAAGGGACAGGCAGAAAGGACTGCTCCAGTAAGACCTCGACCGTGCAGATGGGACTGGCTCTGCTTTCAGGCAATGTGCAGCTGACACCCCGGTCGGATCTTAAATGCCCTGCAGTGCAGGATTTTCCCAGGCCACCTGAAAGATGGCCAGGCTGGAGCTACTGCTGAGGCCAGCACTGCTGCTCACATAAATTAGATGCAATTCTGGCCCAAGGAAGGAACAGCCAGGTGGGGAAGAAACTTTTCCAAAGTGGAAACTTTGCCTGCACTTTATTTTCCTCAGAGAATGTTCCATGTTATAAGTTCATTCACAATAATACACAAAATGCTCGATGCAACAGGAATGTTCAACGTCAGCTCCAGCTTTCTGATGAGCTTGATATCCTCTAAGGGCCCCTTCCTCAGCGAGTCGACCTCCCCTCCTTTCTTCCTCTTCTTCCCCCAAGCTCCCACTTGCTTCCTGGACAGGCAGCAAAGAACCAGTCAGAGAAGGAGAAAGGGAGAGTCTTGCAGACCGATGAAAGTCTTTCTCTATTGCCATAATAACTTTCATATTAATAAATATTAATATTGCTTTCCAAAGACACCTAAGACTCTCCAGTTTTGTCTCTCCTTCTCACGGATTCTTCTTCTCCATGCCCTCCCCTTTGGCTCCACCACTGACAGGCAGGGAGCAAGAGCCATGGCATCACCTGCTCCTCTTCCTCACTTGCACTGTGCTCTGAGCCAGAGTGAGAGGTAGGTAGACGAACAGGCTACAACAGTAAAGTGCTCCAGGAGCTCTTGTCCATGAGCCCCCACTGGGTTGTGGGCCCCTGGCAGTTGCCCGAGAAGCCCACCCTTGACGTTGCCCACACTCCGTTCCATGCCGCCATGCACCATCACGACTTGATCTTGGGCCTGAAAGTGAAGGCCACAGTGCGGCCCCAGGTTTTCGTGGACCCTTGGGAAAGAGACCTGCAGTGGCCTCTCGCTCGCGTTGTGACCAGCTACTTTCGCTCCTCATCCTCTTCTGCACTGCGGCCACCACTTACCCCCCTGATGAGCAGGGGGCCAAGGAGCGAGGAGGCAGTGGAATCGTAGCAAGAGGTTGCTTTGGAGCAAGTTGCCATGGCAGAGAGAAGCAGCAAGAGGGGTGGGGGTCTTGTTAGTGGGCCCCTTGCTGGGATCGGGGCCCTTAGCAATCCCTACTCATGCCTACCCTTGATGAAAGTCCTGACAATATTAGACAAGCTTGGCAACTTCAATGTTGTATCAGTGGCTCTTAGTATATTGTGCACAATTTGCTCACTTGCTAAAATGTCTTAAGTGTGCCCACACTTTTCCATCCCTTTGCTTTTCCCGTCAAAGGAATGCAAGTGTTATTAACTTTAAATCTTTACATAGATTCCAATAAAAATATGTCATACAGCACATCAATCCATTCCATCCAACATGCTGTTCCAGCAGTGGCCAACCAGCTACTCAGCGGAGACCCACAGGCAGGACCTGAGCACCACAGCCACAGCCCTTCACATGTCCCACACTGGTGCACCCAGGCATGCTGCCTCTGACACCAGAAATGGCACATAATCAATCAGGACTAGTAGCCCTCGATATCCTTTTCCACCGTGAATTCATTCAATTCCCTTTTAGTGCTGACCAAATTGGTGGTACCAAATTCCATCTGTAACCACGTGCTGTTTGAAGACATCCTTCTTTTGATCTTTCCTCAATCTCAAATTCATCAGCTTCAAGGAACGACCCTGAGTCCTAGCAATATGGCAGAGAGAGAGAAAGGTCCCTCTCTCACCATCCATGCTCCTGTACACCTTTACCATGTCGCCCCTTCCTTGCCTTTTTTTCCAAGCTGAACCATTTTAAGTTGCCACCACCATTCCTCACGGAGGAGTAGCTCCAACTCCTTGACAATTTTAGTTGCTCTTTGCTGCACTTTTTCCACTTCCACAATATTCTTTGTTTCTGGTACAATGAACAGAACTGCACACATTATTTTAAGTACAGTTATACCACAGATTTTCCTAAGTCAAATGCACCCATCCTGGTGCCCTCCAACCATTACCATTCTGCCTATGCTGGTTCGGACTGATAGAAGTTGCAGTCTGAAGCAACCAGCGGCCACCAGCAGGGAAGGCTGCCTTAAGACGTCAGGCTGGCAGGCCCAGTTCAGGAGGCAGCTTTCATTCCCACTGTTAACCCAAGCTAACCAGGACACAAGCCATTTAATATGCAACACTGCATCCCAGAGCGATTGCAATTACAGCTAGTTAATCAATCGTTCAAAATGCCCTCCAGAGGCCCTATCTATTCCAGGAATGGCCAATTATAAAGGGAGCAAAGGCAGACTCCTTACTCCATTTCAAAAAGGAGCCGGGGGGACGACACTAGCTAGCTCTCACGTGCACAGACAAGTTTGCTTTTGAAAGAAAACAGATTTTCAAAGCGCAGTTTGGTTTATTCTATTAAAGATTTATCCAAGTGTCTAATCCAAGATTTTTACAGGGGACTGGTGTAACAGGCAAATGCCTGTGCTTTAAAAGGGTCATTCCTACTTCTATCAGAAATGGGTAGATGCTACCAGCTAAAGGTTGCAAACTTATACATGCATACAAGGGAATACAAATCTCATTTCAATTCAGTGGCAATTTTGAGTGAGCATGCTTCAAAGTGACTTGCAAGTTACTCTTCCAAAAAGCACTCCATCCCAAATCACTTGATGCTGCTCAGAGAAAAGAGGCAGGCCTTTCAAGCTGGTGCTTCTCCAGAGTTTTTGGCCTACCGTCTACATCATCCTGATATCTGGCCATGGCAGTTGTAGGTCAAAACTGCGGGGGTGATTCAGGTCTGGGGAAAGCTGGTATAAAGGACAGCTCACTAAATCTTCATCTATGAAGTACATAAACTAAGGAAGTGTGCATTTAAGCAGGCGCTAAGTACATTTCCTTTCACATAACAGTAAGCCCTTTTATAGCCAGTGTGTTGACGCATGTGGGTACTGGACTGGGAAGACATGGGTTCTAGCCCCCTCTCAGCTGACTTCGGGCTAGACTTTGTGACTCAGATCAAAAGCGCACGGTTGTGGAAACAAG